TGGGGCGGGCCGCCCGCCTGCTCCCCCGTCGCCGGGCACTTGGGGGGGACAGCGGGATCTGCCCCACAAGGCAGGATGCGGCTGTCCCAGAGAAGCAGGGAAAGCCTGTACTCATCGGAGGCTTTGGAACTGCCTCGCAGGCAGCCTGGAGCAGGGAGGTTGAAGAAGAGATTAAAAGAAGCGCGTGCCCCATTGGGAAGAGCCCGGCGATGCGGTACAAGCAGCTCACGAGATAAAACAGGACTGTGTTAAAAACAAACCCACGCCAGCAGCCACAGAGACCGGCACCAGGTCCTCCGTGGGCTCACCTGCGCCGCTCCAGAGGCCTCCAGTCGCTGTACATCTCCTCCTCCCTCACACCCTGGTGCCGCGGCTCAGCCTCCTGAACGCCGTCGGCAAGCGCGGGCCTGACTTTTGTATCCCGCGTCTAAAATAAATCCCATTCCAGTGTCATCAAAGAGATCCACAGACGTAATTTATGGAAGCAGAGGAGCTTTTATCGACACATCGGCATGCCCTGTCTCGGGAGACGCGTCTGACCCACGGTTATCTTTACAGCGGCACAAAAGGAATGCGTAGGTAGGGCCGAGCACGTTGTTCCTTGGCTCATCCCTTGGATCGGCACCCAACCTCCAGGTTATGCTTGAGGTAAGAGCTCCTAGTTGTGAAACACGTCTTGGGCCAAAGGGGTCCAAAACTCCAGGGATACCCTTTGTTTTCCGAGGGAGTATCCATATACACGTCACTCCAAGCGCACACCAAGTCCCCCCAGGGCCTCGTAGCGCAAGAGCTCGTTTAAAGAGGGAAAAAAAAAGGGAGAAAGGACTTAAAAGAGTCCTCAGGGGCCAAACAAAGCTAAACCATAAAACTACGCTCACCTCTCCGCAAACAAGTTGGCAGATTTCTGCCCTGAAACCAGAGTCGCGGGCTGGGGGGTGTGTGTTAATGGGTTTTAACCCCCTTTTCCAAGGCACAAGCGGTGGCTGGGGCTGGCATGTGGGGTGGCCGCGTGGTCTACGCCAGCTTAGGTAAGTCCTGGCCACCCATCTCTGTCCCCAGGCCACCTGCCAGGCCTAGCACAAACAGCCCTGGGCAGGGGAAGGAATTTCCTACCCATTTAGTTGTCACGGAGACATCCTGGAGAGGAGGGAGGCTATAAACAAATGAAAACCCCTGCGCCCTGCTACACCTTGCAAACGTAAACGACTTACAAGGAAGCTGAGAACCAAACCGGGCGTGGAGCCAATTAACGAGCATCCTCAGGCATCCCAGCGACCTGCCTGGGCAAAGCATTTCATGGAGGATCCCCCAAATCCGGTGTTTTGCGGTAAGACAACACGTTTGATTCTGCTTCGCAGGGAAAAGGGGTTTAGGAAGAGAGGTTTATTGGAGCGTCTGTTGGCACAAACCAAGAACAAGGTTGAGAACCCGGCGCGTGGGTTAAAATACGGGATGCGGATGGCTTAAACACTCGGATCCCATCGCCCCAGTTCACTTTAAATCCATCACCAGCCGAGCCCCAGCATTAATTCGGTAGGATAAATGGAAAGGGGAGAGGTCTGTAAGCAAAAGGAAAGAGAGGAATGGCCTGTCATTAAAGTGACAAATGAAGAGAATAAAGAAATGGGGGAAAAGTGAGGGAAAGCATCACTTAACTGCAGGAACGACGGGCTTTCTGGGCAGCATGTGCCTCGCTGTCCGCGCATCCGTCTTGCCTCCGTGATCCCACTCGGCCAATCTGCCGGAAGGAAAAGAGAGGACACATCTGTGAGTCTGTTTTCAAACAGTTAGCGCCATTCCCAAAGTTTTACACGTGTTCGAGTGGAAGCTTCGGCTCCCTCACCATCTGTGTCTGCGTTTGGGGCCAGCCCCACGCTTCCCTAAGAACCGGAGAAAGCCCACTCCTCCTTGTCCCGCTCGCCACGCTAAGCACATCCTTCCTCCGAGTCGCCCCGGTGTCCCGGGACCGGAGGGCGTCTCTTTCTCCCCTTTGGCTGCAGGTGGCTCCCATCCTCCGCCCCTGGCGAAACGCCTGACGTGGGCAGCATCCAAAACAACCCGCAGCGCCAAATCCATGATTCCAACGCACTGCCTTGGGAAGATGTCGTTTGCCAAGCGAGCTGTCCGACGTCGAACGCTTTACCGC